CAGCCTGGAGAGCCAGTAAAGTTTATGTTACTCCCATATTCACCAGTGACAGCTCCTTGATGCCCAGTCTCTGTCTCCTCAATTCTTTCCAAAACTGTCCCCTTAACAACTGGACTAGGAAAGGAACCTCACTTGCTTGCATAAAGAATTCTCGGCGTTTCCCCCAAAGATGCTGAGTTCATGTAAACGCAAAACAAATGGTCATAAAGGAGGGTCAGGATGTCTGTGATTTTAAAAATCAGTCCCCGTTATGATTATTTTTATGCTGAAGGGCTGGTGACTTTAAAACTCATGATTTATTGTCTTAGCTTTTAGATCATATTATCGAAATATAAATTTGGGAGACCAAGGGCTTCCTTTTTTCTTTCCCCAAGTAAAAACTTTTAACATCAAAATGCCGTGGATAAATAATAGGCATGTAAATGCTCACGATTATCTTGGCTTAGCCCAGGGTATTAACCACAGCCCTAGTTTCCGAGTTCTATTCCCCCAACCCTGTCTCAGGTTTTTATTTGCTATTGATTAGTCAAGTACTCCTAATGGTACATTAACCCTTATAGATAAACTTAAAAGGCTAGTTTCTAGCTAGTTACTGAAGTCCAGCTGGAAACTAGCCCTTGAGGTAGTTTCTTCCTTCTAAAAAAGGAAGAAATTAGGAAAGGAAAAAAGAAAGATTGATATTCACTCATGAGTGCTTGGAACTCAAGACCCCTGAGGTTAGAATCCCTCTTACCAGGAGGTTCTCTGGCTTGATGTCCCGGTGGACAATGTTCAGGCTGTGCAGGTATTTGATGGCGCTGGCCAGGTTGTACAGCATCCCACTGGCGTCTCGCTCAGTGTATTTGTTAGTGGAAGTAATGGCATCAAAGAGGTCTCCTCCCTGAGAAGAGAACGGCAGGTGGAGCAGCACATTAACAGATGGTCCGATGGGGCCGCCTGGAGAGGAAACTGACACGCTATCAGGGACATGAATGATACTTGCAGAGTCTTTGGGCTCCCAGGGCTTTCCCTGCCACTTTCCTCTCAAAGGCTCATGGACTCCATGGCGATTTCTCTCCCCACTGGGAAAGCCAGTGGCATCTCTTCCAGGGCTCAAAGAAGCAGGGCAAGGACTCCCTGCCATCCAACACGCAGTCGTTACCACAGCCCCAGCCCCGGTGGAGAGGGGGAGCCAGGTCTCCAGGGCAGCAGCCTTGTGACATACACCTGGGTGCCCCGGTGGCACGTGCTACGTGCCTTGTACCAACGGCCAACAGAAGTTCAAAGTCATAATCCTAAACCTCCTCAAATGAGAAACAGGTAATAGTGCAGACCACACCCTTAACAAAATGTTCTGCTGGCTTGTGAAATTCACACACACACACACACACACACACACACACACACACACACACACACTCAATTCCCTTCAATCTCTAGATTTAGCTCTCTTGGAGTGGGCGTAGTGTTTTCTTTTTCAATAACGTGCTTCTTTGTAAGGAGCAGAGGAAAGGACCAGAAACTGTCATTTTAAAGATGAGAGAGAAAGAGAGGAGGAGGGAGGGGGATGGAAAAATTTCAAGGAAAGTTTTCTAGGACCATTATTCATCGGAACTTTTGTTTCCCTTGTTCCTTGCTAACTTATTGTTATTTGGAGACACAGAATGATTGTAGGCTCCAATTTTAGTTCTATTTATTTGAAGCCCTTTCAGAAATTTGGGTCTGATTTACTAACAACGTTTGCATCATTCTTGCACACAGTGCACCAAACGGCCTAGCACAGGAGCCAACTGTGTTCATCTGTTGCCTCAGGTGGTAAGGGATTGCATTGTTGTTTTTAAATAGCAAAAATAAAACACAGCCCGTGCAGGCTGACAATTTTTGAATGTCACCCTCTGGCGTGGCCTCTGCTCCCCTGTACAGCCTTAACTCAGGGGGCTTCTCCCACGGTCCGTTCAGTTCCCAAACTAAACACATACATTTGTGTCAACATGAACACTTTCTCTCAGCCTTCTGTTTCTCTCAAAGGCGAGGCTGCCAGATGTGGGTTTACAGGTTGTTTCCATGCCCCTCCAGGAGGTGGGATTTTCACTGCGTTCTGCATGAACAGCACCCCGATGCAGCCGGATGTGTGCGTGGCTGAGTACGGCAACCCCACAATGACTCCACGGGTGTCCTAGTTATCCAGGTAGGCTCCGGGCATCCTGTATCCCCCCTTCTTCTGCATCCTCAACAAAGCAGTCAGCCAGTCCTTCCCATAAGGTGTGCCGCATGCACAGCCTCCCGGGCCATCCACTGCATCTTCCGGGTGAAGGTTTTTGTTGCACTATCCCTGGGGGCTGTCATGTGGCCTCACAACGTGCCCTCTTGCCAGGACGTTCATACAAAACATCCGGCGAAACGACTGTTGCCTTCCCACGTGCAATGGTGGCATTTTCTTCTCCCTTCAGGAAGTCAGCATTCCTTTCCCCCATGGTTCTCCATGCTCAATTGCCCTGCTTCATGCCAACCTGTTTCATCTCATCTCCTGCCACTAGCTGGACCAATCAGTCACCTTTATGCTCCAGCCAGGATATTCTTCCCAGATCATTAAAACATGCCCAGATCACCCTGCATTCCAGACCTGTCCTTAGAGCCCCCTTCCTAGAGTGTCCCCCTTTTTTTTTCTAAAGGAAGAGAGAGAATGCATGCCAGAGGGGCAGAGAGAGGCAGAGAGAAAGAATTTTAGGCAGCCTCCACGCCCAACTCAAAGCCCGACTTGGGCTCCATCCCACAACCCTGGGATCATGACCTGAGCTGAAATCAAGAATCAGACGTTTAAGAGACTGAGCCACCTAGGCTCCCCCCTGGAATGTCGCTTCTAGTCTCTTTGTCTTTCTAACTCCTGCTGATCAATGAGGGCCTGGCTGCAGGGTCACCTCCCCGACAAGGCCTGCCTTCCTTGGAACACATACACAGTTCCCATGTGCACACATCTGTAGGCAGAAGTCTAAAGGCCTATCCTTATTAATTATGGAATTTCACTCATAATAAACTGTTACTTTACTGTTTTCCAGAATATAAGCCTTGTCTATCCTATAGCTGCAGGCACTCTGGCATACCACCGGACATTTAGGGTTTGAGAGGCATAGCCTTAGCTAGATTTCTCAGGGGGGAAATATTGTGGAAGCCTTTCAAGTCAAGCCTGGGGTTGGCCTTCACTTCCTGGGATACTTCCAGACCTGGTCTCACAGCAATTCGGGGTCAGCCTAAATTTAAGGGTATGATCTGGTGGAACAATTGAGAAGTCCCGATGCTGGACTATGCAGACACTCTCTGGCCTTGTTAGGCTAGCTTGGTGCCCCAGAGGAAATTCGCAAAAGGCTGTTAAGTGAAGTGAGGACCTCCCAGTGGTACTTAGCTATTGTCGCCTGACTAAGCAAATGAATGACAATCACACTAGGCTTTCCCACAAAATGTGTTCTGAACTCTTAAGCCTTTGCCTCTTTCATTTCTCAGCTTCAAGTTTAAGTTGGCCTTAACTCTGCAAAAATCAGCCAGTAAATGGGGGATAATCAATGTTTAACAGCACACACAAGGGCAAGAAGAATGGTTTAAATTTATTGCTCTAAAAATTAAAGTCATGGGGTGCCTGGGTGGCTCAGTCGGTTGAGCGTCCGACTTTGGCTCAGGTCATGAGTTTGTGAGTTTGTGAGTTTGTGAGACTAAACACTGATGGAAGGGAATAAAGGAGAGAGCGCTATCTATTATATAGAAAAGCATGGTGCCTCGTGTAAGTTTATTCTTTTTCTAAGATACACACCTTTACTAGTTCCATGACAAGATACAGTTCTGTTGGCACATCCATCTCTTCGATCAGAAGAACAATATTGGGATGCTTCACTCTTCTTAAAATAGACACCTCATTCTGGATCATGTGCTCCTGTTCGAGGGAAAAGTTACCTTAATCAATATACACGTCAAAACATATGAGGAGCTAACTCACATGAGTAAAGCTATACTATTTGAGGATCAAAGGAGATATATTTTGGTAAAATATAATGAATATATCTTAGATCCTGATATTCGGATAGCCTACAATCACCACAAGCTGTTAAAGGTCCTCAGATGATGCTCGTAATTTTAGAACCTATCAGGATAACTCTAACTGCATATAGAAGGATGGAATGAAACTTAAATTACAACGGTAAATGAAGCAAGTAAACAATGATAAGCGACAGAAATAACATACAGCCATTCCAATTAACTTTTATCCCAAGAATATCTATAAAGTTATATTCCAATAAATACATAACATTCTATTCCACCCAAATGAAACCCCTAGGGTGAACTTATATTTGGGAACTAATCTTTGTGTTTCTACCCCCCACAACAATGTATTTTCACAATAATAAACCTTATACATACTTTGCCTCGACATTTGCTTTTCTTGATAATTTTCAGAGCATATTCCCTAGCAGTTGACCTGCAAAGAGAAAATATTTGTAAAAAATAAATTGAATCTCAAATCTATTGAGTCATTTTGGTAAGGATTAATTTCTTACCCCATAGATCTTGCATCAAATAGATGTAAATACTTTATAAAAAGAAAACACCTCTTTTTTTCCTTTTTTCAAAGAAATATGTATATCTTAAGGGGCTGACCAAGTGTGCGGACAACCAGCATGATAGCATAGAAACAATTTGAGCTGTTAATGTTACCATATTGTAATGATGTTCCCACCATTATTGCTATTGCCAAGCGTAACTCTTCCTGCTGGGTTGCCCAGTCCTGCCCTGCCCTCTGAAGTGGTGTGGTCAGGACATAAAGCAGACGTGAGTTTCTGCCCTTCTACCCAATCTCTCTTGAGGTTCTGTCTCCACGAAGTGTGGCCGTGACCATTTTCTGAATGGCTCTCACAGTCTTACTGAAACCTCTCAGTACACAGCTCACACTCTTTAGACTCTGGTTCAGTGTGCAAGTCTACAAGTTCTGTTGGAGAAAGCACGGATGATGTGTTCAAGGTGTACAGAAAGGGATATGCCCATTATCTGAGCTTCTTGTGACTTCTTGGGCCTTCCGTGGCAGTGTCATATCACAGAAATAAGACAGAGGCGACAATTAGTTCATCTCCCAAAGCCACAAGGCAGCATCAAAATCAGGACTCTTGAGGTCTTGAGGACTCTGCTTCACACACAGCCCAGCCAACACTGCCCTCCCCACCATGATGGGTGTGGGAGGGAGGATTTAGTCACCCAGCTACCTTTAAATAGCTTCCTAAGTGGTGTTAGCATTTCTAAGATGCTGTAGTGCCAAAAACGACCGACCGCTCTATTGTCCAAGGACACGACGTATACTTAATAAGCATAAGAAACCATTATTTTACAAGCATTGCCATTTCATTTCTGGTGGGAAACTGAGACAGCTTAGCTCCTTCCCTAGAGATAACAGCCAACTTTAGGGATCCAAATGAAATACAGTGGGAGTGGGGCTCATTAAGAACAAAAGTTTAAAATAGGGCTTTAGAACCTTCAGGATAGAGAATCAAATGAGGATTTCCTACTTATGTGCTTAGAGCTAGAGTGACCTGCCGATAAATGAAAGAGGACAGATATTAGCAGTGTGTCTCAGGGGCATGACATGGATGGTGTCGTCTGCTAAAACTGCTTCTCCCAGGATACTTCCAGGTCCCTGCCTGGATAAATAGGAAAGGGAAATTACACATATTCAAGGGGACTCCTCACATTATGAAGGGATCACGGGGTCCCTTTAAGTAGCCTCTTCTTTAGAGGCTTCCGAAGGGTTTGTTCGCAAATGTGAAAACCCTCAATCAAGAGGAAAACTAAAAGCTGAAGTGCTTCTAGATTCTGCTTTTCACGAATCACTAAAAAAACTATAATAAAACAAATCTGAGCTTCGAATCCATGAGCAATTTCCTATCTGGTTTAAAACGTTTCATTCGATGACAGAGAAATCTGGACTATCAGGCTGACTGCTGTGATAAAAGCCAGTAGTCCCAGGGAGGGCCAGCGAGCTGGAATGGAGGTCACATTTCATTCTGTGCCTCCATAAAGGGGTGGATGACAGGACAGTGTTGGTGAGAAGAGAGGGGGACTTTTTAGTTTTTTCATTCCCTGTGTTTGCCATTTGATCCTCTGTTTCCCTGCAATGAGTAAGATTTCAGGATGCAAAGCAAAGGGCTGGTGTAGGACCAGGAAGGCTGAATCCTCTCTACAGCGGGACAAGGAACAGAATCTCCAAGGAGCAAGTGGGTGTATTGGCTCCCAAGACACCAAGCAAATCAAGTTATGTACTGAGCCTAGGGCTGAAAGGAAAATGCGAGCAAGCCTGGGTTGCTGTGGCCCCAGGGCTTAGAAGGAAAAGGGACTTTATGAGTTCAGTACCCAGAACCTTACATAATACGACTCAACACTCAGTTAGATTTACCCACCGAAATTAATACCGCAAGTTTTCTTTCTTGATTCCTTGAGGACAGAACTATAAAGTCATAGTAAAATCCTTAATTATTGGAAGTATATGTTTATAGGAAAGCAGCTGAGTCTGGAAAATTAGCCTGAAAACAGGTGTTAGTACTAAATGTATACCATAAGAATAAAAATTTAACTGCTTGCTTTAAGTTGGTAAATGAAAACACTTGGCAAGAAATAAAACCTTAAATCAAGTATTTGTCTTCCTGCATACCCTAACACAGAGGACCCCTGTGCCCCTGTAATTACACAGCAAGCGGTTACAGGCATGGTTTTTGGGGGGTGCCTGGGTGGCTCAGTCGGTTGGGTGTCCGACGTCGGCTCAGGTCATGATCTCACGGTTGATGCGTTCGAGCCCTGCATCAGGCTCTGTGTTGACAGCTCGGTGCCTGGAGCCTGCTTCAGATTCTGTGTCTCCCTCTCTCTCAAAAATAAATAACCATTAAAAATTAAAAAAAAAAAAAAACATACGCATGGTTCTTTGGTAGTTACAGAGGTGAGTAAAACTTGGTCCCTGTCCCCAAGGACAGGAGTCTACAGTTTGTTATAGCGAGGACACTAGACACAGGGATTGCTGGTGAAACTATCAGCCATTTGCTTGTTTCTGAAATTACATTCTTGACCTTGCACAGAATCATGGAGCCCTTGAATGTCACAGCAAAGGCAGCAGCAGCAGCAGCTGGACAGATTTTGTTTGCTTCCTCGTATACAGGAACCGAATTTGTAAGGTCTCTTCCTGTTAGGTTTGACCCAAGGTGAGAAACTGAACTACTAAGAGAGAAATTTCCAAATTTTACAAACTTGAACTAAGTCTAATTTTTAATATTCGTGCTAAAAAACAATGGTTTGGAGAAAGCTGTCCTGTTTAGACTTTGTGACTGTCAACCCAAGGCCAGCCTGCTCCCCCCCCCCCC